CAATTTCAAGTATATTGGTTAAAGCATTATGAAGAGTCTTGCTTCAATAGTGGGGAAAGATAACCCTAATCAAAATGCTGCCCTAGTCCCATATAACAAAGCTTAAAATCAAGACCCAGTGCTGCAGGTGTAACCCAGTGGTCCAGAGCTTGTCTAGCAAGTGTGAGACCCTGGATTCAATACCTAGTACTTTAAAAACAAACAAAAACAAAAACAAAACAAAACAAAAGATGATAAAAGTATTTCAAGAACAAAGTATTTTCAACAACTTCAGTTAAGAACAAAGCTATATATCATATCATTTATAGGAAAACAAAAGTATCTAGCATGCAAAATATTATATTCACAATGTCTACCATCGAATAAAAATGATCATGCAAGTATGCTGCCATTAAACCATGACAGAAGTCATGGACAATACTTGCACAAATGGGGATGGCTGTATTCCAATTAAAATTTATCCATAAGGAAAAAAATCTGGCCATATTCAGCCTTAAAGACCATAGTTTCCTGACCCTAAGTTAAAGATTCATATTATAAGCACTAAAGAAATTACTAAAATAATAACCAAAATGCTATAGTTAATATTGATAAGAAAACAGCAGTGATTAAAAAATAAAATAGTACAAAAATTATTTAAAAGGAAAAAAAAAGAACATATGAGACTGAAAAGAGTATAAGTAGCAACTGGTAGATTTAACCCCAAACATTTCAATGATCATATGAAATGTAACATATTTAAAATCCCAGTTAAAGATATTTCATATTGGATAAAAAGCCAGGAAACTTTATGATTCCTTAAATACCACACATTAAAATATGAAGATACAAATGGGTAAAAAAATTAAAATTTGGAAAATGATATACTAAACCAATACTAATAGTTTTTTTAAGCACCTAGAGTACTTTGATATTAACATCAAAGTGGATTTCAAAGTTAAAAAATGAAAAAGTAAGTCAACATAATGATAAAAGAGTCAATCCATCAAGAAGAAATAATGTTCCTAAAGGTTTATGAACCTGCCAGGTGCAGTGGAGCACACCTGTAATCCCAGCAACTCAGGAGGTTGAGGCAGGAAGATTGCGAGTTCAAAGCCAGCCTCAGCAATGGTGAGGTGCAGAGGAACTCAGTGAGACCCTGTCTCTAAATGAAATACAAAATAGGGCTGGGGATGTGGTTCAGTGGTTGAGTGCCCCTGTGTTCAATTCCCAGTACGGGGGGGGTGGGGGGGGGTGGGGGGGGGGTGGGGGGGGGGGCGCGGGGACAGATTTATGAACCTAGTGACAGAACTGCAGAAATAAATGAAACAAAATTTGATAGAGTTTAGTAACAATATAGTAGACCAAATACCACTATTAACAAACTTGACCTAGCTGACATTTATAGAACATTCTACCACCCAATAACAGAACAAATATTCTTCTCAAAGGCACACAGAATATTTACTGAGACACTATATTTTGAAGCATACAGTTTATTCTGAAGCGTAAAGCAACTATAAATTTAAGAGAATTCAAGTCATAAAAATGTTTTATGACTATGGTGACATTAAATTAGAAATCAATATTAGCAAGATATTTAGAAAAGGAACAAATATTTGTAAAATAAATAATGTTTCTAAAAACCCAATAATTTAAGGAAATAAAGGAAAATTAAAAGTATATTGAAAAATGAGCAGGGGACTGCCACATACAAAATTGTGAGAATGACATTAAAGCAGTAATTAGAAGTAAATTTGTACCAATACCCACAATAGAAAAGATGAAAGTCTTTGAATGAATAGCTTAATATTCCATCTTAAAAAATAGAAAAAAGAAAAGCTAATGAAACACAAAGTAAGCAGTAATAAAGGCTAAAGCAGAAATAAATGAAATGGGGAATGGAAATACAATAGAGGAAAAAATAAATAAAACCAAAATCTGGTTCTTTTAGGAGAAAAATTAAATTGATAATCTCCTGACTGGACAAAAAAAGAGAAGACATTTATCAACATTAAGAATAAGAGCAGTGATACCATCAACAACTCCATAGTTAGAAAATAAAAATTATAAGGGAATATTATGAGCAACTTTGTGCCTATAAATTTGGTAACACTGACAGATAAATTCCTGAAAGACACAGGCTAGCAAAGCTCACTAAAAAACAAAGAATACCTTAAGTCTACATGTAAATTGAATTTTTTGTTAAACATCATTGTAAACAAAACCCCCAGGCTCTGATGGCTTCACTGGTGAATTGCATCAATCATATAAGAACCATTATCACTGAATCTACATAAACTCTTCATAAACTCTTGAACAGGAAAAGAACAGGAAAAAAAAATCCTACCCAACTTATCTTATGAGGAAAGAATTACTGTGCTACCATAAATAGAAAATAATATAAGAATATTACAGTCAAATATCCATCATGAAAATATATGCAAAAGTTCTTAAACTTTTAGCAAATAGTATCCAACAATATCAAAAAGTATACTGCATCATCATGAAATGGGGCTCATATACAAATGCAAGGTTGGTTCAAAATCTGAAAATCAATTACTGTAGTTCACCACATCAAAAGACTAAAGATGAAAAAACAAAATCAACTCAATAAAATGGAAAAAGTATTTCACAAAACATAATATCCATTAAAAAACTCTTTACAAAGCAGTAGAAAAAGAAAAACATCTAAAAATACCAATGTTTAACTTAATGGTTTATGGTGAAATTCTGCTTCCCCCTAAGATCAGAACCAAGGCAAGAATGTTTGCTCCCACCAGTCCTATTAGACTGGAGGTTAAAGGCAATGTAGCAAAGACAAAAGAAATAAACAATGTTCATAATCGAAAAGAAGAAGTAAAACTACTTGGTCACAGAAAAGAAATACAATGTCCTTGAAATCTATTTTTTAAAAAAAAAGTTCTAGAAGTAACAATTATGTTGAGCTACATAAAGGTATACAAACTAAACATAAGTGGAATAAGTATTTCCATCCAATTTAAAATTAAGAAGTCTGTTTTATTGATTTTTTATTGATAAAATTTATTGATTTCTTAGCTTTAAAATAGGAACCACTTAGAGATAAATTTGACAAAAGATGTGTAAGCCCTATATACTGAAAAAAGACAAAACCGAGAGAAAATAAATAATTGGTAAATAAATGGAGAGAGAAATCATGTTTATGGATTGGAAGACTAAATATTGTTAAAATGTCAATTAAATGCAAAGTGACCTATAGATTCAATGTAATCCCAATCAAATCCTATCAGGTTTCTTTTAGAAAGAGAAAAGTTAATCTCAAAATTAATATGAAAATTCAAATGAACCGGAAGAGCCAAAACAACTTTTCAAAAGAAAAACAAAGCTCAAGAATTATACTACCTTACTTCAAGATACATTATAAAGGTACAGTAGTTAAGACACTGTGGGATTGTCATAAAGATAGATGAATCAACAGAAGAGAGAATCCAGAAATAGTCCTTCATATATATGATCCTTTGGTTTTCAAATAAAATAAAAAACAATTCAATGAAAAAAGGACAGTATTTTCCAATGATGAAGCTAGAAAAACTGGATATTCATATAAAAGACTTCAATACATACCTAAATCCATATATTAAAATGAGATTAAAATAGATCAGAAATCTAAATGTAAAACCTGAACTACAAAACCTCTATAATATATAGGAGAAAATCTTTACCTGTGATGAGGCAAATATTCCTTAAACAGGATATTATAAACACAATTTATTAATGCAAAAACTATAGTAAGACTTTATAAGAATTGCTAAGAACTTCTGTTTGTCAAGCGGTACCATTAAGATATTGAAAAGACAAACTATGAACTAGAAGAAAATCTGCAACAAACATATATGATCAAGGAATGTCATCTGAATATATAAGGAAATTTTAAAACACAGTAAGAAAAGAAACCAATTAAAATGGGGGAAAGGGTTAAACACATTTTATCAAAGAAGACTGACAGAAAATAGGTACAGGAAAAGATGCTCACATCATTTGCCATTAAATGTGATGAAATTTATAACTACAATGAGGTACAGATTTATCAGATGTCCCAACTTATAAAAGACTGACCATACCAACATTACTAATGATATGAAGCAACTAAAACTCTTATATGCTGCTGGTGGGAATGTAAGTATATAACCACTTTGGAAAACAGTTTGTCAGTGTCTTTAAAAGCTATAATATCCACCTCCCATATGACACAGCCATTATATTCCTAGGCATTTACTCATGAGAAATGAAACGTATGTCCATACAATCACTTGTGCATGAATGTTTACAGCAGCTTTATTGGTAATATCCCAAAACTGCAACAACTCAAACATCCATCAACAGGTGAAGAGATAAACAAATCATGGCGTATCCATAAAATGGGCAATGTTACTCAGTAATAAAAATGAACTGTTGATACATACAACAATGAAGGATGAATCAAAATAATTATGATAATTTAAGCAAGACTAAAATTAATATATATTGCATAATTCAATTTACATAACCTCCTAGAAGATACAAACCACATAATGACAAGAAGCAGATTCAGTAGGTTAGGGTAAGAATAAGGCATTACAAAGGCACTTTTGGAGATGATGGATATGCTACTTATTTTGATTTTAATTATAGTGTCAAAATTTATCAAATTGTATATTTAACATGTACAGTTAATTGTATGTCAATTATACTTCAATAAAGCTATATTAATGAACACATTAAAAACTAACCTGAAAGGCATTTAGGTATCTTGAGGAGCCAAAGTTCTAGGCTTGATCCTATCTACTTCCATCAGTTACTCATATGATTTTTGTGTTTAAAAGTATAATGAGTAATAGACTAAGATGATTTAAATGACATGCAGACAGAAAATGCCATTGACTATCACATCACTAAATGTTATGTAATGAAACAATAATTACCAATTGAATTTCTATAGGAAAATATGAGTTTTCTTAATTTTTGTTTCTATAAAACAGTAAAAATTTATACATACTCACCTCTTTGGATAATCTTGTAAAGACATCTCCTCCCCTGAGAAAATCCAATATTAAATACAGCTTCCCTTCAGTCTGAAAAGCTAATTATAAATCATAATGTAGTAACAGTATAATCTAAAAGGCTTAAAAGCTTAATATACTTTTAAGTTAATATGTCTGTTTAGAATCTTATCCCTAAACACTATAAAGCAATTAAATATGTACTCACATGATCCATTGTTGGATAACATCTCTAAATTAAATGCATTGCTTAATCCAGTGTTAAAATAGCTATGAATTCCTTTTCAGAACAAAATCAACTTTGCCTGTGGCTTTACGCCTTTACACAGAAACTTCTATCACCACTGTTTCCCTGATTTTTTGTAGTATGTTGTTCTACCAGTCTGAACTTTGCCCCCCAGTCATCTTTTGAAAATCAATTAATTCCATAAAGCTCAACAAAAATGATACCTCCTTCATTAATCCTTCCATGATTTCTCCCTTTTCTTACTTTTCTATAGCATCCTTAATCCCATCCACATGAAAATTATTTGCTATTACTCTTGATATCTCATCATACTTTATGTATGCCTCTTTTATGATACTTATTTCATTTTGATTTATAATTTTTTTCATTTGCATGTCTATCTTCTCTATAGAGTATAAATTTCTTGAGGTCCGAGACTTTAATTCCATAATCACTGCATTTAGTACCGTGTTTTGCATAAATAGATGCTTAATGATTAATGACATACTGGAGATTAAAAGTCCTCAGATAATGCTATTTATATTCTATAGGATAACAAAGAGTGAAGGAATAATGGATGCACATTTTTTTGTAGGTTTCTTAAAATACAACTGGGTAGGGCTGGGGCTGTAGCTCAGTGGTGAAGCACTTGCCTAGCATGCGTGAGGCACTGGGTTCGATCCTCAGCACCACAAAAAATAAATACAGATACTGTGTGTTCATCTACAACTAAATATAAAATATTTACTGATATTTTAATGTAATATTTGTCGAAATTACTCTAAGTATAAAAAATAGCTGCTCCTAATTTTTTAAATGTAGAAAAATGACAGTGACACAGTAAACTGTATCAGTAGTTTAATTTTATCTTTTAGTTCCCCTGAGAACCATAATCTCATCCATAACTTAACCCTGGAGCCATGATTCAAATTCAGAAATACCTGACTCCAAAGCTCCTATTTTTTTCTATGATACTCAGTATTTTAAATGATAATTTGTTACTTCTATGTATAAAAAATAGTTCAAATAGACTAATGTAACTACATGGTCCTCTTGAACAAAACCAGGAAATAATTAATATTGTTATTATGAACAAATACCCAAATATTTTACATAAATTATCACAGTAGCATATTGCCTGAGATCACTGGAGGTGCAGACTAGTATAGGAATATTTCTAGACAAGTAAGTAGAAGACAATATCTTGTTACTTTGGACAAATTAACGAACATAGACAATAAAACAAATAAAACTAAAAGTTAGATGTTTATACTCATTTCAGATAAATACATTTTACATAGTTGAATACATTAATATGCTTGAAGTATTTGTTTCTTATTATTTTACTGTGTAAAAGGGAATCTTCAATTTCTAATTCTCTAAATAATAAGGATTACATACCATAGTGCAGTTTGACAATAAATGGATGATTTACTTCCACCAGTATATCCCTCTCCATCTTTGTCCGAACTCGGTCTCGAACTAAAAATTACAGGAGTAGACTATATTAAACTTGTTGATAATTTCAGTAATGATCTAATCAATGATTTACCAATCAAGAATATAAAAAATATATAACTTCATAGGTGCCTAAATTTACAGTATATATATTCCTAGATAATAATGACCATATTCTCAGAACATCAACACATTCAATATATATCTAGAGATAGGTTACAGTGGCATAAATCAATATTTGCCTACTATGTATTTCTTGTGTATTAGCCTTTAATTGTGCAAATGAGTATATCATTTAAAACTGAGCTTATTGCTATTTCTATCACAGCCTAAAAGATAGTATAAAGTTTATGTGGGTGATTGTGCTTTCTTAATATGTAACACTAACACAGATATTACAGGAAAAAAAAAAACAAAAATCAATGAAAGAAAAGAGTATATCTTGATAAAATTAAATTAAATATGTCACATTTCTAAGCATGAAATATTTACCCAGATATACTATCTTTAATCACTTACTTGCTGGTTAGAAAACTTAACAATTATTAATGTTAAGAAGAAACTACATCTACTCACATTATACATGCAATATATAGCATATTTTTTAAACACACTGTGTTTTAATAAATTTTCTAATTTTCTACCTTTTAAAGAAGCTTTTTTTAACACCTTCATTGCATAGAGCTGCCCAGCATCAGGTCCAGTCTTCTTTCTAACCAGAAACACCTAATAGGAGAATTTTTTAAAAAGTGAAATTCAAGTCATTGTTCGTGTGTGTGTGTGTGTGTGTGTGTGTGTGTATTCTTTTTAATGTTGATGGACAAGTACTATCACTTAGACAAGAGCAAGAAGTTCTGGTATGCTATTGCAGTCAAGTAACTACAGATTTAAAAAAATAGGCTATATGTTTCAAAAAGCTAGAAAAATGAAGACATACTTGGCTACCCATAAACTCACTAGCACATCTTTATTCTTGAATTTTCTCTAATGTTATAAAGATAGACCTTTCCCATAAGTATACTGTAATTTATATTTTTAGTTAATATACTCTCTCAATCTGCGTCACTGAGTAAAATCACACTATGCATAATACCACTTTAGAAATGAAAATTTTAAAAGGAGATGACACGGTAATATACTTTGAGAAGTTTGTGATGTAAGAAATTAAAAAAAAAAAAAAAAAAAAAACAATGAATGACTAATTTGAGGTGGAAACCTCCTTCTAAGACCCAAGTCCATTTCCATGTCCTTAATAAAGCACAAACAAATCTTATTACTGTGAATTTAATACCTCCATTTCTATTCCCTTATTGGTCTATTTTAGAAGTTACCAGGCATTTTATTTTGTAGAAAGAAATCAGAGGCAATGCTTATCTTCTGTCTGCCACATGAAAGAATCAAGGTGGCACATTATCTCAATAAACAAGTAAATGTTAACTCTTTAATATTACTAGCAAACTTAATTTATATATATATATATATATATATATATATATATATATATATATATATTTTCAAATTAAGAATATGATTCATTAAAAGCTAGATTTTGACAAGGCTTCAGTTATGAAGAGAAATACCAAAAGATTATAATTTTATAAGATTTATAAAATATTTATTTCCTTTTTAATTAAAAAGTAATTACTGTTCTCCATCTCAACTTGCTACACAAATCCTAATAAGTTCTAATCAAGTGTTGTTGCTTTAATTTAAAATACAACTACATAACACAAACTTATTCACCTAAAATTGCAGATGGGAGAGCTGTTATAATTATTTAATTTTCATGTTTTCTCTTCCCAAAGTATAACTCAAAACCCTTAATTCCATATCATCTATGTGATAATTATATTTCAGCAAAATGGGTAGGAACCTTAATTCAAAATCTATGACATGGCATCGGCACCATTTAATAGTAATCAGTTTTCAAGTATAAATGGTAATATATTAAAAATTGGCTACTTCAGCTTACAGCTCAAAAAATTGCACAAGTGTTCTGCTTTAAGACATCTATTGTATTTCAGGATGCAATTAAACGGTTTTATGTGTACTTCCCATTTCATCATAGAATATTAAAAATTAAGAGTATTTGAAGGTTGAGTTTTCATAAAATTTTAATAAACTGTTTTAATAAATTGTTAATCTCTCATCATGGACATCCTTAAGAGTGGGGCAGTAAGGAATACAATGATTACTGGTACTATTTGGACTCCCTACTTTTATTGTGCCAATGTGCCAGCAGTTGTACAATTAATATCTTAGAATTACTATAAAATTGCTTTGACCTGTGCATTCCCTGAAAGGGTCTTGAGGATGTCCAGCTATATGCAAACCCATGAGAAATACTGTTCAAGAACACAGTCCTTAGTGGAATTGCAAAGAACAGAGTATACAGGGTGAGAAGAGGGAATAAGAACAGAATAGTGTAGGCTTTCACAAATACACTGTCATACACAGCAACCATTTTTTTCCTAGCTCTTCTAACCTTCCTTAGAATCCCAATATGTCACATAATAAAAGTCATCATTCACAAACTAAGTAACCATTTGTTCATTTCCTGATCTGCCTTTTTTCAGCACAAGACATCATATCTCTCTGTCCTTTTTCCACAAACAGAGGTATTTCTGTGGCTCCCAACTATTGTATCTAAAACCAAATCTATCCAAACAGGAGAGAATCCTTTCCAGTTACGCTAAAATAATAATAGGAAATTGCCCAGAAAGGAAATGAGTAATTCCAATATATTTTCTGTCAATCACATGGAATTTTATATTTTCCATTAAGAAGTAAGCAATTAGCATTGATTCAGGTGAACTGGAAAGTCACACATATTTAAATGCTGATTACAGAGAAAAGATCAACTGTAGGATATTTTAAAATATAAGAATATATTTTTTAAATAATTACTTGACAGTTATTCAGTTATTTAATAGAACAAGAATGCAATTTTTTTAAATTCACTTTAAGTCTTACAATTAAAGGCTTTATTATCACAAAGGTAAAAACATTCTTTTTTATAATTCATGTATGATTTATATAAATATGATTTGGTATATGATGTATACATAAGTCCAATCTCATAATTTCAAACGTGTTTTATGTCTGAATTTGTATATAATAATTTAAGTTGTTAGATATTCTACATTTTAAACCGTGCTATTGATCATTAATAGCATAATACTATATATGCTTAGTAAGGAATTTTGTAACTTTCGTGATGATAAAGCTTGTTTTTTAAAGAATAAATTTAATTGACTTTATTAGGATTCCCTCCAATTAAGTACACTATGAAGACATTCAATATCTTAAGAATTTACATGAACTAAAAATCCCATTTTTTAACTTTTCAGTGCAAACTTTACAAAAAAATTAAATAAAACTCTGCAGTCTCAAAGTTTCTTGGAATTGTTCCTACCCTTATCTGATTCACAACCTTTTCCAAATTCCTGAGTAGGTTTGACATATAACAAGTCATACCCACACAATGTCTACACAAATGATATATAACACTGATAAGAAAGTACATTCACATCTTAGGAAGGAAAAAAATAATAATATTTCTTTGGTTTGGTTAACGAACTGCATAAACATCACTATTCCATATTTTAGTGTTAGGAATTTTAAAAAAAATAGCATTGTCCTTGTTGAACCAAAGTTCTTACACAAATCTGAGTGTTCTGTAAAATTAGGACTACACTGACAACTCACCATCATGTTGCTATATTGATTGTGAAGATATGACTGAAAAAAAGTTCAATAAGTTATACTATCATCTTTATGAAGATCCATGAGAGAAATTTTTCTAGTCTTTTTAATCTGTTTCTACCTGAAAGATACTATCAATAACCACACATTAGAATATATCAGCTTCCCTATATTGGCTGCCAGAAAACTGAAGTCTTCATTTTTGGCCCATTTTTAGAAGTCTTATAGGACCTTAAATCAAATATTTGTGAAAAACAAGATGAATTCTTGGCTTCATCTAATCTTTCCTGCTCTGATATTTCTGCTTTCATCTACTTTGCCACTTATTTTTAATTACATTTTATTTGATATTCATCTATTAATGCATTAAATCCTTTCAATAAGGCTGGGACTAAATAAATGCATATATGAATAAATATATCAAATAACAAAACAATTAATTTTAATGGTTTGAATGTTTGCCTGGTGAGATTTTTAAGTCAAATACTTATACATTTGGTATATAAAAGAAATTCATCTCTGTTCTTCTGAAATTAAAATCATAAAATAGCTAAAAATTAAAAAATAGAGAAAGAAATACTCTCAGAATCATTCAAATAAAGGTATTTAGAATGCATATGCCTACTCTACAGGCCAATTTGAAAACCACCTATCTACCACCACTAATAGCCCTTTTTAGTTTTTCTCTCCCTGGAACCCTGCCTTATCTGCTGTCTTCAGATATCTCTTTTTACCAATTTACTGCCAAGCCATAATTCATCTCATTTTGTTCTTTGTGTGGCCTGAAAATGTTTCTATATATTTCACATATTATATTCTACAGTGCAGATACATTAAGTTACTTTAAGACAACTAATGTCTCCAATATATTCACCAACACTATTCATACAACTGTTGTGCACATACCAAGTACTCAATAAATGTCTTTCTTTAAAAATGTTCCAGAGCACTATAACTAATCACTGCTCAGTTGCCTTCCTTTTTCCCTTTGAAACTACCTCAACAAGTAAGAAATTAGTTTCTACTTAACTTTCCTCCTCCTTAAATTATTGTTGTTGCTGTTTTACTAAAGGCTGTTACTTGTTGCACATATGCGATAATCATGTTTCAGATGTTATATGTACAAAGGTCAGGAACCAGACCCACATACTATTTTTTCCAAGAAAACATGGTATCAAACACTTAATAAACAATCCTAATAATAAGTGTATGAGTAATTTTTTCAAATTTTTGCTTTCTTAAATTTTCAATTCTTTAAAGGCAGGAATTTCACATAATACCTATCAGCCAGTACCTACCCTTGTTCTACTATATACATCCATGATCTACTTCACTTTGACAGATGATAGATAAACCTACAAATTCAAACATCAACTAAAATATAAATTCTAACTTCAAGGATAGACCTAATGTACATGTAATCATCATGACACAGCAAGTTGTGTTTGTAACATCATAAACAGGGAGACAAGGAATACTATTATCCATAAAAATCTAACTACCTTGATTTAGGCACTTAAAAAAGTGCATGCTGCATTTTTTCATAAAGAAATCAGTAATCCCAGGGGATTCGAAAATCCTGACTATTACACAGAAGTATAAGAAAATAGAAATAAAAGAACAACAGATATAAAATTAATAAAACTGGAGTTACCTATGTGTTTTTCCATTTTTATTGGTTCTTTTTAATTATATATACCATCAGGATTAATTTTGACATGATTTATAAAGGCAGGTGTGCATATTTTGAGAAGTTTAGAAACATTTATCAAATTTATATTCATGTATATACTTTTTACTAAATGTTTACAAGAAAAACAAATGTAGAAGGCTGGGGCTGTAGCTCAGTGGCAGAGCATTTGCCTACCATGTGTGAGGCAATGGGTTTGATCCTCAGCATTGCATAAAAATATACAAATAAAATAAAGGCATTCTCTCTGTTTACAACTATCAAAACATTAAAAAACAGAAATGCAGAAAATTATTAATTACCTTTCCAAATGATCCCTGACCAAGAACCTTGAGCAACTCAAATTGTGCAGGATCTGCTTTCTCATAACCTTCCTTAACATGATGAATGATAGGGATTTCTTTAACAACACCTTCATCCTGTAAAATATAAATTCGAATAATACTCAAATATAGTTCTAACATCTTGTGATTATCTTTTTAGGAAAGAAATCATATAATTTCCACCTCTCTAGATCTATCACATAGTTTTACAGGCTACTGATATGCCCATTTAACTGTTTTCTAACTTAACAAACAGATAAACCACAACCATCTTCCCTACCATATATTTTCCTGTAAATGGAAGCAAAATATAAAAATAAAATAAAATCTCTGCTTCAGTTTCCAAACAGAAAACAATAAATGAAAGTATTAACAACTAACCTTCTTAACACCCTCACTGTAGTGTGACTTATGAGGCAGAGGAATTTTTACATAAAAATCTTGTAAATTGTGAAGCATGGAAAAAAATATAAACTTCAAGAGTTACTTTCAATACTGTTTTACTATACCCATTTTAATATTTTTAATACCTTTATTTATTTAATTAATTTATCTTTCTTTATGTAGTGCTGAGGATTGAACTCAGGGCCTTGCACATGCTAAGCAAGCACTACAGCGCTGAGCCACAACTCCAGCCCCCTGCCATTGGAATATTTAAGTGTACAATTAGACACATCAATGCAAAAGAAACTGGCATAAACAAAAGAAAATTTTGAGAACCCAAACAAATGTTTCCAGGCTATGGCCCTAGTATTATTAAATATTTGAATATAAATTACATGCCAGATTTTCTATCATCTGGACCAGGCAGAAAGGAAGCCACTCAGGAAATATTTGAACCCTATGATACAGGGCTCCACTCAGCTGTGATGACTACACTCAAGTGAGTTTTGATTCTAATCCCTAAAGAACACATAGTTTCTAGGGGTAAAAAAACTCAGCTACTTTACTTATCACAAAATAACACATCTGGAAAGATCTGGAAGGGATCTTATCCAATCCTTTTGCACAGAGTTTTTCACATGAACAGTTAATCACAATGTCTAGAAGTTTGGAAAGTTTTCCATTATACCACATTAATTCTGGTTTGGATGGTAAGAATGGTCTTGATCAATTTACCCTTAAATTGACTGACCAATTAATGATGGCTGTGGCCAAAGTCAACAAGGGTATGGTCCCAAATTAGACAGGCTTCATGGCAGCTTAAATAATTTTCATGTTACATAGGTAATCAAACACTCACTCTATTAAGAGATGTGCATAAACAGAGAAATTTTAGTTTTAGGTATTAGGAACCATTAATAAATGAAGTCAGAAAAAAAATATTAATTGACTCACAAAGTATGTCAATGGATGTTTCTTATACATCAAAGTAACATTTAACCAGATAGTTTTAAGTATTCAGTGATTTATAAATTTTTTTCTAAAAATAAGGGCTGAGGATGTGGCTCAATGATAGAGCATTTGCCTAAGCATGAGGCCATGGGTTCAATTTCTAGCGTTCACCAAAAGATACATAAATCTACTGAGTCTGCTTTACCATTTGAACAGGTCCTTTCTTTTTATAGTGGAGAATTTTTTTAAAATGTAAAAGTACATGCTCTGCAGCTGACATTTTGGGAATGTATTGAATTATGGTGTATTTGTATGGATCTTTACAATATATACACACCCCAAACAACAATAGATTACATGTTTTATTAATATTATGGACGGTTTCACTACATATTATGCCTATATTAGTGGTCTTCAAAGTATGAAAGTTTCTGAAAGTTTCCTCCTGTGGGAAGAACATTAGAAGAGACAACAGACTTTCTTTTGCTCACCTCTGCCATGCACAAACTAAGCACCTTTGACCACATCACAAACTGTACTCTACTTCAGTATTTTCAGATGACAAAGAGATCTTGTTAGATGGGTGTCTAGGCCTGGCTTCCATATTGAACACAATATACTATTTTCATGATTAAGAAGGCACTTCAAGTACTTTGCATGTTTAAGATCATTATAATAAGCATGGATCATGATAACATTAGGTTTTTTAAGAAGTGCTCCAAGTGTGGAAACAACTATATGCTAATTAGGTTCACCAAACCTAAACAAGTATTCCAAATAAAAAATGTTTATTCAACATCCCTTCCTCCCTTTATTAAAATCCACACATGCCCATCCTTTAAAACTGCAATATGTCTTTTGATTTTCAACAGAAGTACCCTAAAAGCTCCAAACAGTAAAATGCTAGTAGATAAGAAATAACACTCTTCCTAGCAGGCAGCTATCGTATAATAATGTTATAATGGGTTCTATATCTTGTCTTTCTTTCCCACTGGACTGTTAGTTTCTTCAATGCAGCTATTATCACATTCATCACTGTACTCCCAACATTTAGTATAATACTTGTTTGATCTTATGGGAGCAGAAAGCTAAACATTTTTATAAGAACAGAGGGAAGAAAAACATACTTTTAAAAAGAAAAACAGCTCTTACCAAACATATGAAAAAAGGTAATTCTGTTCAGTAACAGAGTAATTTGTTTCACTATATTAAGCATTTCATTATACATATTGAAATATTTTGTATACTTAAAAGCATACAATAAAACAAATTGTTTTAAAAGGTAAAATTAACCAATAAGAAAAATCAAAATTATTTTAAATAGTTAAAAAATTATTGGTAGATATTGTACAGAACAGTGGGTTTCATTGTAGTATATTCATATGTGCATATAACATAATTTGATCAATTTCAATCCCTAGTATTTCCCCTTGTCCTTCCCTCTTCCAGGCACCTGACCCCTTCCTTTATCCTAATGGCCTCCTTCTATTTTCATGAAATCTTTTTTCCCCTTTTTCCCCCTCTAACTTCCACATATGAGGAAAAAAAATATATAGTGCTATCTTTCCCAGTATGGCTTAAATGGATAAAACTGGAGATCATTGAGCTAAATACTTTCTAAAAAGCAGAAAAAATATATATATCCAGAATTTATTTTTACTATACAAAGGAAACAGGAATTTCATTCTGGGTAATGGAACTCTGTGAATTTTGAATATCATTAACCTTCTGTTAAGCAATATTTATAAATTTAATAAAATGAGCATTTTCCCCTTAGAATGTGGATGATGTTAACAAACTTTTCCCATTATTCATAATTAGTACATTTATTACACTGTACTGTATTCAACACAAATGAAAGGCATAATAACCCATAACCTGTATTTTTAAATGCTGATATTAATTTAATACTTACCATTTGCCTTTTTAATAAATACATTTGTTCATAGGAAACTGAAAACTACACATTATATCACTAAATTATGGCAGGTTTGCCTTTAAGTAGATAGTACTTTATATTATAGTTTGTTTGTCTTTAAGTAGATAGTAGTATATAATGACCTATGTACACATAAGGATCAGCTACAGAAGAAAAATGCAATTGATACACTTGTTTGGATCACAGTTTGAGAGATTATGGTTCAGGAAAACTAGGGTAGGTAAGGCATGTCTACTTTTAAATCTCACCAGATTATTTTGATACTTGGCTAGATTTTAGGTGCTTCCAATGGGTAGCTAAAGTTATATATATATATATATATGTATATATATATATATATATATATATATATATGCATATATATGTAACTTTATACTGAAGAAAGACACAAAATACATATACAGATATATTTAATGTATGCACATATGTATATGTAAGTGTTTATAGCTACTTATTACAGAGCTGTTTTTATCATTTGTATTCCACTTTTTTTTTTTACTGTCAAAGTAACTGATGCCCTCCTGTGTCACCATTTCCAACATTGTTTTTTCTTATTTCCTCAGTTTCCAGCCACATTCCTAACTATTGCTGAACATGTTGCAGCATGCCCAAGTTCATTGTTTACTATTATAATTTTGTTTTATTGTCTCTGAAACTCCCCCTTCGCTCTGTACCTCTCTACCTTTCTTCAGGTTCTATTCCAAAAGCTTAAGAGTAGCAACAATCTAGCTTTATATAAGGTAGTAGTTTACTTCTGAGTCTTCTGTTTTTCCCTAAGGGTAAATAATGCTCAAGAAAGTTCTTTATCTTTGTATAATAAATTTGTGGTATATCATCTTATATCTCCATGTATATACTCTTTTAAATTATACATATACTCAAATAATTGACAACATTCATTAAGCAATATTCTTTATCAGACACTGCTACACACTGGGGATACAGAGGTAAAATGCTTAGAGACAGAGGAGTCTGTCAGAACCATATCCTTAAAGAAATAAAAACCCACAAGCATGTTATGGGCTGAATCAGGTCCCCTCAAAATTGACATGTTAAAGTCCTAACACTTAGTACCTTAGACTACGACCATATTTAGGGGCCTTTAAAGAGGTAATTCAGGCAATATGATGTCATAAAGGGTGGTGCTTAAACTAATAAGACTGATATCCTTCTAAGAAGAAGAAATTAAGACACATCCACACTGAAGAAAGATCATATAAAGGCACACAGTGAAAGGACAAGTTAAAGAAAATCCAACCCTGCCAGCATCTTGATCTCAGACTTAATAGACTCCAGAATTGTGACAAAATACATTTTCATTGATTAAGCCATTTAGTCTATAGTACTTTGTAAGGGTAACCCTAGCAAACTCATAAATGGTATCTAATCTTAGTGGATCTATGAAAATAAAGCTGCTACTAGGAAATGAAGATTCAGAAACTACCAAACAAGAGACTACTATTCTATTCACATTAAATGATAAATCTAAGGCAGGAATGACTATAAGTTGGGTTAGTTCTTCCAAGCTTGAAGTAATTGTTTAGGAAAAAAATATGCCATTTCCACCACAAGAGAAACAGAATGATCAAACCTCTAAAATTTTTGATCATTTTTTAAAATTCAGGTGGAGAACAATGCTGCAACACTGAAAAAACATAATGATAAAGTAAAAAAATTAACTGCCAAATACACTACTGCTCTGTTTATTTGAAAACTGATTTCTTTAGGAAAAACAAATCACTTGTTAAAGAGAAAGAGAAAGAGCTGATAACAACCATTAATAATGTACTATACCTGAATCACAACAGTTTCACAGGATTAT